ATTCTCTGTTGTATGACTTTCTTGCGCAACTATTTGGTTCAGTTGCACCCCAAAATAGAACCATCCCGCCTACAGTGGACAGAGGAGTCAGTGACACTTCTACAAGGGGTGCAGAGACAAGAGGAGGTGAGTGGGTGGGTGGGGGGGAGTGATTGGGTAATGCTGGGAGGCTCTAATAAAATGTAATCCTATTATATGGTTCCCACTAGAGGGCAACAATAATAAAGGTTTCCCTAATAACATGAGCAGACCAAACCCAAATGGAAAACAGCTCCTCAGGTCAAGTCCCACACTTGTACATATATCCTCTCATTAACCCAATTGCTTTTGGGCCACATTACACCGACAGGCCTTTGAGATTTAGCTGCGATGGCGAGGCAAGAGTTAAGTCAAACAAATGTGTTTCATCAAACTGCAGTTTGGGCTGCTCTGCATAAAGGAATTGAAGGGGGGAGGAGGAGTGAGGGAATGTGTGCGTGTGGGAAGTTAGAAGGAGAGCCTGGAGGAAACCAATCAGAACTTCTCCACCCTCCCTCTGTGAGTCAAAACCGCCGGGGTCTCAGGTGTATGTTGTGCGAGCTAATACCTCCCAAACTTGATTGTTTGTGCTGGAGTAATCAGAGTTTTGCAAATTAGACTTTTGGAAATGATAGTCCAATCATTGGTGAATGTAATCACAATATGGTACACCACTAACTGGAAATCATATGATGGGACTTGATAACTCTCTAACCCCCAACCCTACATACAGATGGACTGAAAGTGTTATGGAGTTTAAATCTTTCTTTAACAGAAGTTATATTATTATTATTATTTTTTGTAGAGCAAATGAAAACATTATATTACATTAGATTAGGTTATTCACAAGCTGACTGTTTCTTTTTTTTTTTTTTTTAACCATTCTGCTGAAAATGAATGAAAATACCAGCTCATATTTTTTAAGACGAGATAACACATTGAATGAGTTACTCCTCTTCCTAGCTTTCTCAAATGGAGGAAGTATAATATTTATCATAACTGACAAAGTGAGAATATCAATCATTTTCTCAAGACAGCTTGGGTTATTAAGTGAGCCAGTGTAATAGTATTACAAAACCCAGAATAACAAAGTTATTTATCTCCTCCTCTCTTTGCATGAGTGTACGCACATGTACGTGGAGCTGTGTGTGTGTTTATGTGTCTGTCAGCATCAGACGGAGAGTGTCGCATGCCTTCCTGTTCCTGTACCACCCTCCAACCCCTGAGCCGCAGACTCAAGGCAGTTTCAAGAATCAAACAATTTCACGCAGCTACTGGAGGAGGAAATGAACTGAGCCCAGAGCAATAATAAAATTATACAAATGTTATTACAGACTCGCCTGCTACTGTCCTACTTTAATTCAAATTTGGGGACTCCAGGCAGCGCTGGTGGCAGAGACCTTCCTGAATAAATCAACATTAGCTTACGTCTAAATTATTAAGGAAGTGGGAGACTTTCTTGTTTATAGTATGAATTATTAAACAAGTGTTTAATGCTGTTTTTCTTCATGAATCCCTAAATATTAATTGCTAATGATCTTTAAGGTGTGTGTTTTATCTTTTTTTTTTTTTTTTGCCCCTTCTGTTGTGGGTTAAAAATCAGAAGTTTTAACTTCAAAAATGTTCCTGAAATGAACGAGATCAGTAAAAGGTATGCTTTTGGCATTGTATAATTAATGAGTGAATCTTTAGTTACAACCTCAAATGCAGCACCCTGCAAAAGTATTTACAATCTTTTAACTTTTCTATATTTGTTTTCAGATTACAGCCATAATCTTTAGTGGATTTTATTGAGATTTTACATGATAGAGCAACACAAGCTGTCTGTGTAGAATAAAGAATACATGAATGCATTTTTCAGAAGAAAAAATATAAAAAGTCTTTAGCTTCTCCTTTCTATTATACCTAAACAAAATCAGGTCAAAATTATTTTACAAATGTCCACAAATGGATGCTTTTCAGTAAAGACAGTTGTACAGTGAAGCAGAAAAAACTAAACATCAACAAGACCAAATGAAATCCACCAGACGAGACATGGATGAAGTTGCAGATATGTATAAATTATATTTCATGGAAGTTTGGATTATAAAATATTACTCCAAGCTCTGAACATGTTAGACTACACTTTAACATATAAACCAATGATTAACAAAGTTATGTGCACCAAGGAAATAAATAATAGGTGAGCTATTAATAGCGCATTAGTTGAAGAAAGAGCCATGTAATCTATAATAATGTTTTGGGGCACTGCAGTTAAGATAAGATAAGATAAGATAGACTTTATTGATCTCACAGTGGAGAAATTCACTTGTCACATAAGCTCAATAGTCAAAAGAAGGTGCCAAAAGGAGGAAATGGTGCATGGGATATATATATACAGTGCCTCCGCATATATACAGTGGATCAAGAAAAAAAAAAAAAAAGGGGCAGATATTTAAAGTAACTTATATGACACATATGTATTGGGCGTTATACATTGAAGTAGTACTAGGTAAGGAACCACAGTGAGGTAGTGAGATAATGATAACAGCTGAAATCTCTTAAAAAAAATACTTGCCACAACAGCTATAAGTTTTGTGCTTTACAAATCAGCAATCTATGGAAAACAGAAGACAATAAATAAATAAAAAATGTAATATCCGTTTGCATTTGGCACCGAGCCAAAGGGTGCAGAGCCCTTCCAGGTGGACAACAACCCTAAATATGGAGCCACATTTACAAAATCAAAGTACATTCATGTGTTCGAATGGTCCAGTTAAAGTCCAGATCTGAATACATTTGAGATCTGTGAAAATAACTGAGAATCTCTTTTTGAGTGAAGCTGGGAGGAAGATGCATTAACACGCTTGTAGCTATTATTGCAAAGAAAGATGGTGCTTTAAATCAGTTTCAATCAATTTGACATGTGACAATTTGATGACATGAGTTGTCAATTGGCGCTATATAAATAAACTGAACTGAATTGAATTGTATTTACGTTTTTTTTTTTTGTCACATTAACACATTGCACTTTTCTTACTTTGTTTGGAAAACCAATCAAACATTTCAAAACGATGCAGGCTTTTCTTTTGACTTCATAATTATACAATATATGTTGATAAGATCAATATTATTTACGGGATATAAGGTTTGCAGTTCTGTGACAAAATGTGGAATAGTGCAAATAATTTCATAATACGCTGTAGCTTCTGCTGGTTTTTGGAGGCTTGCTATCAGTTTTCTATCCAACATCTTTGCTAATAAACTGCTTAATTGAGTAAAACACAACTTAAATCGCCATCCTTTTTCTGTTACATATCAGACTTAACTTATTGCAACTGTCAGCAGAAATGTCACCACATTCTGAGGGAAGGAACACCTTTAAAACTTACCATTTTATTTCTCTCTCCATGCTGCCAACAGAAGACACATTTAGTGAATATTTAGCATTTTCACGCTCCATTACCAAAATCCTGATGGGCAGCTTGTAATTCTGCAGGTAGAGGAGGATGATACAGCAACACTTAAAATTAAGTACAAATTTTTAATTTCAGGAACAGAAATAAACAGAAGAGACAATTTTGTTCAGGCAATTTTATTTAAAGAAAATTAAAGCCTACACTCTAACCAAATCCAGTGCCAGGAACATGAAGGCTGACCAAAATAATGCTTCATGATTACACTGACTTATCCTCCAATTTGACTGCTGGGTCCTGTGTTGGAATGCAGCAACTTATCCTCCCGTGTAGTTTTGAATTAATGCTCTGGAAAAATATCAAACAAGTAAAACCCAGAAACATTGTAATCCAACCTGCTCATGCAAGGCTCATGGTTGCCCTCATCTGGATAAAATGAAACACCTCACTGCTGAGATTGCACCCTTTGCCAGTAGGTGAGGCTATAGTACCACTCACGGAGTCCACTGCAGCGGAGAGGAAGGAAAAGATTCATGAGGGAATAAAAAAACAGTTTTGATTTAACGTCAAAATTATACTGCTATTCTCGGCTGGTGAAAGTAATATAGTTGCACCATGTAGACAGCTTGCAGCAGGGCCCTCAGAGAGAGAGAGAGAGCAAGAAATTGAAGAGCGCCCTACACTTTTAGCAAAGGAAATGAATTGTAGACATATAACAGATCACCTCTATTTCCCATCACAGAGTAGTATCATTTCCTTGGTGCTCTTTTGATGGAATGAGATAAAATGGAACTATTCTCAGCAGGGCGACTCCGAGGAGCACACAAAGTGGACATTTATCTGACAATAGGGATGGATAATCAAGGGATGAAGGGTCCAATCCATCACTGGACTGAAAATCTTTGTTTTGCTTCTTTTTGTGTGTGTGTGTAAGCCTACTGCAAGGGAAACTAGTAGAAGAAGTAAGGTACTTAAAATAAAAGAAGAAGAAAAAAAAGAACTATTGGAACTTCTTAATTTCATTTAAATGTTAATATAGATATTGGGAAAATGCATTTGTGAGCAGCAGATGTCAGTACAGTTTTGTTGGAGGTGGTGTGATGGTTTGATTTAGCTGTTTCCTAACAAGAAGGGTTTTTTGTTTGTCATCATTAGAGGCAATCCCATGCAAAAAGCTATTTATATGAGGTACCTCAACCATCCTGTATCTCTACAATATGGGGCCAAAGTGCTTTAAATTATGTTTTATTCCTTTGGTACATCTGACTTTAACTGTCAATATCTCAAGAATTTATGAGTTTAGAAGAAGGATTGTTGGTCTTTATTCTTGAACTTTTGGGGCAGGCAGGGACCAATGTTCACTGAGGGGTGGGGGAAATTGTATATGTGCAAACCCAGTTCTGTGTCAATCTACACTAATCACACAACATGAAAACAAAGTAGCAAAATATTCATATTATCTAAATAAACCACTGAAGACAGCAGATTTTTTAAGCTATTGCTATTTAATATATACAGATATTTATACATATATGCATGCCATACTGTGTTGAGCAGTTGTGCTTTGCATTTAATTACATAGCAAACTTCTAGAAAAAATACAAATAACAGAGGAAAAAGTTATGAAAATAGCATGAATTCTTTGTCACATTTAATGTCAATATATTGATACAAGTAATTTATTTATGCTTTTCTTGTCAATTTATAGTTAATATACAACAAGACAACAAGAATTACTAACAGTCTGGACATAGTACTTCAGAGTATCACTGTGGCCCGTTTTAGAGGAGAACTGCTTGATCTGGTGGTGGTGAATTACATCGACATGGGAATAACACATCTCTTGGTTAGGGGTCAAAGGGGCAGCCAATGGCAAACCCTAGCTTTGTATCTGACTGTTTATACAGTCATTGCTGGATTTAGATATGAGTGATATGGCTCACAACCCAGAGCAGGAACTATATGTAGGACAGGATGACCAAACAACCAAAAAATGTAATATATTCTATATCCTTCAATCATCTTTTTCTTATATTATGTCCAGGAATAGAGGTATGGGCAGAATACTTTGCAGTAGAAAGTGCATGATAGGGAATTTAGTTAAATACAAATGTCACTGTTTCCTAAACCAAAGAGCTCGAATCTTTATCAGAATTTCATTTAATCATCCAAAAATAATGAATCATATTGGATATTAATATAATAGTATGAAATTTGAGAAATGTATAAAAGAAAGTCCTCACAAATTTGCACTTTGTACCAGTATCTTTATAAAGCACAAAATGTATGGAGGTGGGTTACAAGGAGGAACTCACCCATTAAATGAAAAAACCTCTTCTTCATATATATTGATAAAATGTGCAAGAAAATGGATCTAGTTCACAAAGACAACAAAACTTCAATGATTACAGTGAAAGGAAAAGAAGGAATAGTTGTACAATAACAGACAACAAAGTGGAGATGAACTTGAAGAAAGCATAGCAAGTTGTTTACCTGATTAATGCACTGAAAATGGAGAGCTCTGTGATACAGCTCTGCTCGTACAGCTTGTCAACGCTCCCTTACTTTGCATCGAATCCTTAATGTGCTTAATGATCACAAGGACCATCCTGCCTTTTATCACACATGCAGAAGGCAGAGCAAATGAGACACTAATCCAAAAATAACAAGGCTGCATATTCTTCCTCAATCTTTCAGTACAGCAGAATGACCCAGCATAATTGGCTGACCCCCTACACACATTTCCCTCCCATAATGCATTGCTTGCTGTCATTTTAACAGGATGCATTGTGTGCAAAAATGATCATTCAGAGCATCCCTGAGCAACAGTCTTGAATGTTCTGCAGTTGTGTGGACGATTTAGCTCTAATGTGTTAATGGTATGACAGTGAAAGTAATACAGCCTTGCGTTTCTGACAGAAATTATAGTCTGCTTTACGATAGAAGTTTGCTTGTCATCTTTTATAAATTGGTCTCCATTTCCAGTGCGTGTGATAGTCATACAGAGGACAGTACTTCTCCGGACGACTCCTGAAAGGGATCATTCTTCTCTACTTTCTCTGCAAGATCAATGTTATGGATAGAGCCTGGCTTGATGATGGTCTCATCACTTTCCACCACTTTGTACTTTCCTGTTAATTCCTTCGTAAAGACTTGCTTCAGCTTCTGTTTCACTTCAGGGTCGGGACAGTAAAGATATTCATACAAAGCTGCAGCCAAGATTCCTCCCAGAACAGGGCCCAGCCAGTACACCTACAATAATAGGGGAGGGGGAACACCCTGGTTAGCAAGTTAGTTAATGAGTTACTCCTTAAAGATTTTATCTGAACTACCCTGTGTGTGCTTGATGACATAGTAATTTCTGCAACAAATTGAGTTAAACTGTAACACACTGTGCAGTAATGACTTTATATTAACTAGCAAACAACATAAAATTTTTATATTTCTGAAAATGCCGTTTAAGTGATTATCTGATTACAAAGGCAAACCTAATCCATGTATAAGGATGCCACAACTTTAAAAGAATATAAACATGTTGATGTTTATCAGAATGATATAAAATATAATATCTGATGTTTACTTTTATTTACTCATCTTTGAAATTTCATGATTATATTCTTACTGTTGGTCCCACCAAAGGAGAAGGGATAGGAGCGAGGAACAGGAGGGAAAAGCAACAATTTCCCCAATTCAGAAGCAACCCCAGGGAAGCTTTCTAAAGCTGTGACAGTGCATTGTTGCCACAGGTTTTAAAGGGTGCTAAACTTGGAATTTACAGATCAGCCCTGCTAATTGGTAAAAGGCAATGTTGCCTTAAGAAGAAAAGTTTAATAAGGAGCTTTCACTTTTCTGAACAACCTAAAACTCTAGGTTCAACTTTTATTGTAGATATATACCAAACATGAGCTTATATGCTTCATTTCTAAATACAATTACTTTCTAAATAAGATACCATAGCATTACTGAGTTTGGGACCAGAAGTGAGATTTAGAAATACAAAAGAGGGAACTTTTAAGGAGAAAAAAAAGCATATTAATTATAAATAAATATAAAGTATATTCTTTCTGACCACTGGGGGAGCCTGCAGAGGTAATCAATGACAGGTGATGGCTTAAATCCCCCTTTCTGGTGCAATGCTACAAAATATTTTTAAGTTAAACAAATGTTAAATAAATAGCAGCAGTAACATGACCCACACCTGTTTGTGCAAAGCTTGGTGGAAATTAATCCCTTGGGTTAATAACAAAAAATACATAAAAAAATAACTTTAGGCCAGCTGTCTTGCATACCGTTTTTGACACTATATACAGTATTTTAACCTAGAATTCTTTTGCACTTTTCATAAGAGCATAAATGAAGGGGGCAATTTGAGGGTTTAATAGATGTATCATATGATGCAGCTTAACTCTGCAGATCCTTTGCATGAACTTAGCTAATTAATATTATCTTTAAATCAATTATGTTTCACTGAATAGTTAAAAAACTAAATTTCCTAACTATGTTATATTTTACTTTATGTAACAGACGAAATGCCTTTCATAACTGGATCTGTGCATACAGTTATTATATTTAAAGCACCCAAATTAAGAGCAAATTGCTTATTTATATTTGTTTCCTCCATTACCTCTTTATTTTATGTGTATAGGGATTAAAGTTATTTATCTGAATTTTTTAAAGATCATAGACTCACATCCACCTTTACACAGTTTGGAACCGAATTGAGAAAATGTTTCAGCTTTCTTAGTTATAATTTTAAAAATACATTTGTAAATCTTAAGGGATCATTTTATGTATGTTTACTGCCCCCTGCTGTTTATTTTTCATTTTTTTTGGGTTTGGACACTTTGGCTGTAAATCAATTGACAAATGTTATGCATTTGTTTGTACATCGTTCTGTTAAAGAGTTGTCTCTTACCCAGTGGTTGTCAAAGTTAAGTGTGACCATCGCAGGTCCAAATGAACGAGCTGGGTTCATGCTGGCTCCTGTGTAAGGAATCTAAGACACATATTAATGCAGATTTTGATTTGAAGGATTAAACATAAAAAAATAGACACAAAATCATACTTAACCAAGCTTAAAGCTTACATTGTACATGTCTGAAGTCAAGGTTTTCTGAACAAATAACTCTTTGTTACAACATGCATAAATTTTTCACTGCTCATTCATTTGCTCTACAGGGTTCAGGAAGCCTCTGGAGACTTGTTGCCATGCGATAGAAGCCTCCAGTAAAGATCTGCAGCAAAAGTACACAATCACAGGCTGACAATTTCACCCTGAGATTACCTGTTTTAATTCAGCTAAGAAACCTTGAGCCTTTTTGGTACAAAAACTGAGTATTACTGTTGACAGAACCTATGTTTAATTTCTAAATCAGTTTTTTTTTTATTGCTCGGAGACTTTAAACGTGTAACGCTAGTGAGAACTAAACAGCAGTTTTATTGAGCCTACATACATAAATAAATGTACTCACTGCAAAGAAGTGTCCGATAGCTACTGCAAATCCAATGGCTAGGCTTGCAGAGCCACTTAGGTCTGTACGTCTGGGATCACAAGTGGCAAAGATGGTGAAGACCAGTTCGAAAGTAATGAAAAGCTCAACAAGAAGGGCATGTCCTAATGAGATCTTGGAGTTCACCTTGAAATAAAAAAAATCCAATTTAGATTAAGAGAAACCCTAAGGAAAGATTTGGTACAAACAGAAAAAAATACGTTGCTTTAGTTGTTACCATAGTAACACCGAGAGATCCTCGAACATCCGCAGGTGTAACAGCGTAGAGTATGCCAGCTCCGGTGATGGCTCCTAGACACTGAGCCACCACATAGAACACACCTTTTGCAAGGCTTAACTTTCTGGTTATAACCATGGCTGCAGTGACAGCTGGGTTTATGTGGCCGCCACTGATGTGCCCGAAACACTGAACCATAGTGGCAATGCTGAGGCCAAAGCAAAGGGAGATCAGCACCAAGTCAGCAGGAGGGGGATTGTCCTCCCCTGCAGCCCAGTTGATAGTGGAGCCAAGGCTGAGGAGCACAAAGATCAAGCTGGCTGCATATTCACCTGACACAGCCCTCCAGAAGCTCTTTGTCCAGATCCCTTTAAAAGCCACCATTATACTCCGACAGTTAGAGCGGGACAGGAAGCTCCTGGCAAAAACATCAATGAAAAAAATGATTAGCCTACTTGTGTATTCCTGAAATGTAGCTGGAAATTTACTGAACCCTATCAGAACAGCTGCCTCTAGGCAAAACATTTATCCACCAGAAATTTAAGACAGTGAATCTCTGTCACAAAATATTTTTACAGAATACTCTTAGGTACATTGTGGAGAGAAAGTTTTCATGCATAAAAAAAAAAAAAATGTAATAATCAAAAGCTTGTAATTATTAAACATGGATCAATTCTAAAATAAATAAAATATGTTGGTAAACATCAAGAAAAATCAACAGGATAAAGAACTTTTTAACAAACTTGATTTAATTAAGAGTTAGTAAATGTTGAAACTTACCGAATGCGCTTATATATTCTGTCTCTTTCTGTCCCCGTAGTCTGTGATATTTCATTCATAAGTCCTGGTAATCTGTTAAGCAGAACAGATATCTAGCCCTTAATTACAAATATATTTGTCAAGTCCTATTGCCAGTGGCCTACAGGGTTAACAGAGGAGCAGCAGGTTGTTTAAGTTCAGACCTGCAGCAGGGTGCAACACATTGTGCCCTGGGACTGCAAGCAGCAGCTTTATTGGTGGATACAAAATCATCCCCTCACAGGAATTAAACAGCCAGCTCAAGGGGGGAGGAGTTAAAGGGAATGTGTATCATGTAAGGATGACAGCACAATTAGGCAATCAGCTTCTATGCCACTATCAGAGCTTTGAGTAAAGGCATGAAAAAGGCATATTTTATTTAAAGTATGTGGATCCAAAGACTTGTTTTGTAAAGATGTTTTGTACCTCTCAAAACAAGTTTAGAGTCCCATTTTAAAGGGGCATTCTTGGCATACAGAGGTAAGTTAAGTTTCATTGATCTGTAACCTTGTTAAGTCCTGCAACAGTATAAAGTAAAGTAATTATGCATGAAATACACCATTCTTAACCTTTAAATAAAGGAAGGTTTTGATCAACAATCCTAAATGCAGCAACCTTTTTAGATTGTAAGGTACATGTTTTTTGTCCTTTTTTTATCTGCAGCTCACCTTTTCCATCTAGTTACAAAATATTTGATTTCTACTGTTTATCCTATTAATCAATATGCATACAAGAAATTCTAGATTCCTGAAATTTAGTTCAAAGTCCACTTTAAACAAGACAAGACTCGTGTCATTGTTCAACATGAATTTGTTTTGAGGATTAACCTAAATAGAGAGCTTTTTAGCAGTCTGATAATCAGAGTAAAAAAGGTCCTAATGTGAGCTTTTATTGATGCTTGCCGACCCTCTGTACTAAAGCATGACCCTCATTACAGGTCAAAGAAAAGGTAACTCAAGTTTAACATTTGTATGTATTTCATTTAACTTAAGATTACTTATATTCTCAGTTCTCTGCACGTCATTAATAGTAAACAATGATTTCTGACCATATTAGCTTTTAAGATAAACACATTTTAAAAACCAATACCTTTAAAACCATAACCTCAAACAACTGCAGCTCAGAATAAAGTGGTATTAGAAATGGACCAAGACAAAAACCCTGTTACTGATTGAAGAGGATCAGTAAAACATTGTATGACCAGAAGGGATATATACATGCAAGAAATAATAAATATAGCATCAAAAAGAAATTTAAATTTCAAAATCATATCTAGACAAGTTAATCAATTTTTGGAATTCAGCTTTATTCAAGACATTGGTAGAATTAGGTATATTGATAGAAATGCCAATGATGCTGAACAATGATTAGCAGTGCAAACTCTGAAACAATATACTGGCTTGTTTTTTTTTCACACTGGTCAAACATTTGGTTAACATATTAGTGACCTTGCTTTGGAGAACAGAGCTAAGAGTCTTAATGTGTCATATATGCAATGTGTTAATATTTACCTCAGAATTACCACATAGCAGCTCTGTGGAGAATGTGTTCCACATGAGCCATCAAAGATGACAGAAAAAAAAAAAGAAATGAAGGTGACACAGAGGAAAAGTGAAATGTTAAGCTTGAATTTTATTACCACCTTTTATGATTATATTCCTCTCGGCCGTAGACAGCTGGAGGTAGGCACCAGCACCCCTAACAACCCCGCTTGGGATAAGCGTGATAGAAAATGGATGGATGGATGGATGGATAGATGATTATATTCCTGAAACATAACTCATTTGATCGTTGTTGGCATGTAATCTTGATTTCTTTTTTCCACACAGACATCACAAAGTTTAAACAGTGTTTTGTAGTGTAGTCTAGTTAAAACTTTCAGCACTCTAGTGAATTTGGGGGTTAGATTTAGACTTAGACAGACTTTATTGTCTTTTTGTACACACAGAGTGTATACAAAAATAAATTTTGCTCGGTACACCTCTCAATACATTTTCATTTTTTAAAGTGCAGCAGTGGTAATGTAAATATACCTTCTTGCCAATTTTATTTATTTTTTTTTGTTGGTGGGGTGGGGGGTCAGGATTTGGGGGTTGAAAGGTTTAACTCAATGTAATAGAATAATTAATGTCAACCAAAAAAGAAAATAATATCTTATAATAAAATGGAAGTACTGTGTGTTGTGGCTGCTTGAGACTTGTCAAAGACACAACAATGCCATGTAGCCTAACATGATAATTGAACACGATAATTATTGTTGTAAAATGATGCCGGAGTACAAAGACAGAGCCAATGCATTCATGCTAGGAGTAGCACACTACTGTACATGGAGCAAGACCCCAGGCCAACCTTGGACCTTCTTGCCAATAGCAGTGACGTTTCAGACCCTTCCAAAAAACATGTCAAATCATGTTTTCTCACCATTACATCTATCACCATTATGTTTTTTCTTATGGCTTAAAAGTGAAGAACAGTTCTTCGTGACAGACTACATGCATTTGCATTACAGAAATGGAATTTATACAGAACATCTAAATTGTTATGTAATGCAGTTCAGACAAAGAGAAAAAGACATTCAAATTGCTAACATGGAAAACTAATGTACTTGTCAAAACCCGCTTGTGTCATTAAAAAAGTAATTTAGGACAAACATTAAAAAAGGGCAATGTTTATCAGCAGGCTTCAAGAGTTTATTAAGCATACCATTTTAAGTTTTTGCCTACGTATGAAAGTTTGATATGAGTACATTAAAGAATCAGGCTTTGTGCTCAGAAGAGGTGCCATGACATTTTCACAAATCTAGTTTTAAAACAGTGTTACATTGAAAAAAGGCAATAAATGGAGTCACTTTAGGTTGCAGAAGAAAATTTTCCAATTTTTACATGACCATAACAGGCCAATTTGTCTTAATTATGGGTGAAAGGAAAGAGTGGTGGCCTTTTTTTCAGACAATTAAACAGCATGGTGTAAGTGGTAGGACGACGGGCAGCTGTGTAAAAGCCAGAGAAAACTATTTTAATATTGTCCATTCTGTCATTTCATGACAAGCGATTTAAACTAAAGAAATAAAATCAACAGTTTTAGATTTTTTTTTAAATTAAAGGTATAGTGGAGGATGTTCTTTATCCGCCATCATCAAAATAAGTGGTCCTCCTAATTGTCAATGAGTCTAGTGATACGTTGACGTAAGGCCGTCCTATGTGCTCGTCCCCATTTTCACTTACCTATGGTGAGTCTGACATAGTGGAAAAATTGCAAATCTTCTTATGGAAAGTAAGCTTGAATGAGCGATGTTAATCTGAAGGCCAAAAAACAACACTGCCAGTTTAAAAGGTCAACTCCTTTCAGTACAACTTTTGCTTTTTGTAAAAATTTATTGAAACTCCAAGTTTAGTACAGACAGATCATTTCAGTCCTAGCAAAAGTTTAATGCAGTAGATCTGAAATTAAACCATTAAAGCAATTATTGCAAACTCTATAACACAAAGAATAGCTCTGATTATTTAATTCCCCCACTAAATACATTACTAAAATCCATAAACTCTGGCGGTGGTGGTGACTAAAAAACATTCGTCATTCCACTTTGCCGACGGTCGAAAGTGGACTTGCTACTTGTTTGTCAATCAAACAGTTTGTGTTTGTGCCTCAATAACTTTAATTACGTAGGCTCCAAGCGTAACTCATACGGTCCTCCATTATGCCAAAGCATGAAGAAGTACTCCTACTGCTGCAGCTTTTTTTTAGCTATTTGTTCACTCTTTTGTGTAAAAGAATCATGACAAACCTTTTTTCGACGTAGTAAAAAAGAGGAGAGAAAGTGGGAGAGAACAGAGCTGGCTAAATGTGTGTAGGAGATTGTTTTCAGAGATGATGTGCCCTGAAGCAATGGTGTCAAAAGTAGACACTTTGGTTACTTAAGTAGAAGTATAGATACTGCAGTTTAAAAACACTCTGGTAAAAAATTAAGTATCAACTTGACCTCTTTACTCACGTAAAAATGAAAAAGTATGTGCTCCAAAAACTACTTAAAGTATAAATGTATGAAGCAACCTTTAAAAAGAAAACAGCCAGATGCCACTATATGAATTGAAAGCAAAATGTTTCGACTATTTCGAAAAATTCTTTGAGATAGGGCCAAGGATGAGGGAGGTCTTGTTGGTCTCCGTCTCAAATTTCCCGATACGCTCTCATCTGTGTCCGACCTTTCAGACATTTCAACATCTTTTTCTGAATAGCTAACCAATGAGTGTTTGCATTACATGACTTACCCAATGACACTAGTTTTCACTAGATGTGGATGGTGGCAAAGATCTGCATTGGATGGCGCACATGACGTGAAATACATATTTATAAACATTAAACCGAAGCCAAGAGTAACTAGTAATGTGCGTTTTAAAAATGTAATGAATAGAAAGTACAGATACATGTGTGAAAATGTAATGAGTAGAAGTCAGAAGTAGGAAGAAAAATAAGTAATGTAGTACAGTATAGATAACTAAAAAGTGTACTTAAGTACAGTAACAAAGTATTTGTATTATGTTACATGACACCTTTGCCCTGAAAGGAGCAAAAGGGTCTGAAAACAAATGATTTGGCCGCAAAACATCTGCTGGACAGATAAATTAAGATAAATTCTGTAGAAAGTATTGTTTTTTTTTTTTATTATTAAACATGCAACAGCAAGAACACACCAACAAATTGTAAATATAACTTTGAAATGATGGACGAACAGTCAACATAACTGTCTCAAAAGCCTGAGTAAAATTTCTAGATTTCCGGGAGGAAATAGTATTGAAAACCAAGTCTATTAGATTAATATATAGTTCTTGGCATAAAATAAACCGCTGAATAGAAGATTTGCTGTATAATATTTCAAGCATCAGCATTTTCAATCCAGCAAAAATATATTGTTTGATTTATTTCCTGGCTGTTTTTTTTTTTTTTTTTTTAAACAAGACCATCCAACTGATATCAATACTGGGATTTTTAATTGTTCAAATTGTTCTGAGAAATCAAAGCAAAACTCACCCAAAAAAAATAAAAAATCTGACAGTTCATGCATGTATGTGGTTTTACTAACAAAAGCAAACATGGCCATTAGGCTTGCTTGTTTTACATCAAAATATAAATGTGCACACCATATCCACTCAA